GTTGACTGGCCTGTGATTTGAGTGGCATGTTTCTTTTACTGATTCATCCGGTTTCTGCCACGGAATAAAAAACAAAACAAAAAAACAGGTAATTGACTTTGTATCTCACAATTCTGACCCTTTTTTTCTGCAATTCTGAGAACTTGCAATTGCAAGAAAAAAAGGTGGAATTGAGAGTTGCAATTACCTTTTTTATTTTATTATTCTGTAGAGGAAGCAAAAAAAAAAAAAAAGAATTGTGGGATGTAAACTCAAAATTGTGAGGAAAAACTGTCCAAATTGCAAGCTGTAAACTCAATTTCAAGAAAAAAGTCAGAATTCTGACTTTTCCCTTTTAATTACGAGTTTATATCTCATAACTCTGCATTTATATCTCACAATTCTGACTTTGTTTCTCACAATTCTAAGACAAGACAAAACTTGCAATTGTAAGAAAAGAAGAATTGTGAGTCACAATTACCTTTTTAATTTTTTATTCAGTGACAGAAGCTTAAAAAAAACTGAACTTTGAGATGTAAACTTGAGTTCAACAATGTGCTTTACTTAAATAGGGTCAATTTTGATTTCACTTTAAAGGCCAGAAACAGCCTAAATCAGCATGAACAGACTTTTGTTTCCTGACATTAATGACATTTTCCCGCTGTTTCGCTACAGTTGGTCCAGTCCTGTCCGTCAGTAATGACTGGAATACCTCCTATGGTTCCACCTGCTGGACCATTCAGCTCTCTCCAGGGAGCTTTTCAGCCCAAGGTTTGCCTGCCACTCCATCTCTTAGCTTTGTTTTGTTCAAAACGCAGCAGTCTTAAAAGGCCTTGACAACACTGATAGAAGCCTGAGAATAACTAGATTTTTCTTGAGTTGAGATGACCTCCCACAAAGAAAGAGCAGAAAAAATAAGAAAAGGGTTGGGCTAGCCACACTTATTACTTATATAAGAGAGAATGTGTACCGAGGAAGAACAGGGCATCTTATTGATTTGTAGTCATGAGAATAATTTAAATATATATGGACGCAGGATTCACAAATTTTGTATTTGCAGGCTTCCAACCCACTAGACGTGGTGTCAAGACCAGGATCAGTGGCACACCAACTTTTACAGAAGGACTCCAGAGTAAGTTTCAATTTAGCGTCAGTTGCAAGGCTTTTCTCTAATGGGTCAAAATCTGAGCCATACAGGTCTAAGAAATATTTACAGCTGTTCTGTCTATCATTGAAGAAATATAAGGAGGATAATATAATGTATTTTTGTCTTTTTTTTTAGCTTCTTGACCCCATGTGTCCTAAACCAAAGGTAAGGTTTGCATGTGATTATTCAACTACTTTTTATTAAACTTGTAAATCAGAAACTCAATTCTTTACCCATCATTCATTATTTTTTACATTTTCCTCAGAAACCTGGGAAGTGGTGTGCAATGCATGTCCACATTGCATGGCAACTTTACCATCATCAGCATAAAATTAAGGTAAGCGCAAAATAAATTATTGTTCTTTTTCAAGATGTGAAATATATCTAGTTTTGGACAAGTTATCTGTAACCATTTTCTATTTCTTGGGTTACAGAAGCAGATGCAGATTGAGCCACATAAATTAGACTTTGGGTTTAAGCCTGAGTTTCTGAACCGATCGCCTGGCTCAAGCTTCATGGGATTGCAGCCACGTGATTTACCCCTCCCCTCCACCATACTCTCTAATGCAGGTAGGAATTACAGCATGGATCAAACCCACACTAGTGACTGTAATTTAGCCAAATAGGATGTTCCTGGATCACCAAGTTGTTGGTCCTAGAACAACATCCCATCAACCAATTAGTTATACGGTTATGCCTTAACACTAGGTATATTCTCATCAACCTGCTCCTTTCCATTGATTTTATGGTAGTCCAGTCCTCCTGCTAGAGGGCCAATGTCCTACTGAGTTCAGCTCCAGCCATAATTAAACATCTGAAGTAGCTAATCTAAGACTTCAGGATTACCTGAAGGATTACTTTCAGGTATTTTAGGGTAGGTTGGAGCTATATTCTGCAGGACGCTGGCCCTCCAGGAACAGGACTGGGTTAGGGTTAGGTACTACTGTCAGTGTCAACATTAATGAATGCCCATGATATCAGTGAGCAGTGTCCTCTGATTATATAAAACATCAATTTTATAAGCTTTATAAGAGGAAGTCTGACAGAAACAGGACTGTGCTCACCAGTATCTGCATGTCTTGTTAGGTCCCACACACCCTTCAGTTTCGCCCTATGGATCCTTACCGCACACCCCAAACAATCTCCACAGTGTAGTCCCCCATCATGGTAAGATTAAATCTGACTTCAGAATTCAGTTAATATTAGATCCACATTATTGCTCAAAATCTAAACTCATGTATTCCTTGTTGTTGTGTAGAGTCTCTTAATAAGCCACTCACCTTTGGAGGCCTAAGTACACTGAGTTCATCTGCCTTTGGAGGACTAGGAAACCCATCACTAAGTAAGGACATCATTTATCCTGTCATGAAAGGATCTGCTTCTACTGTAGGTTAAAATTTTTTTATCTTCCTCTGACTGACTATAATAAAATTCACAGCACCAAATGCAGCACATGGGACTAAAGATGGTAAAACGGTGCCAACTTCAAGTGGACCACTAGAGCCCTGGAACAGACTGCACCAGACGCCCTCATCCTTCCCGACGCCCTCTCTGTGTTCAAGGCCTTCTGAAACCGAGAGAGCTCCCTCCATACCGGACAGAGCAGCAAATAAGATAGATTCCCTAGAGAACAAAGATGACAAGGAAAGGTACGTACCAGCTATTTTGCTAGTCTGTCAAGAGCAAGAAGTTACATGCAGAATGTGATACATTAACATTTCCCTTCACCTCAATGACAGTTGCTCAGTCAGCATGTGCATCCCCAAAAGTCTGTGACCAGGTTGCTGCCATATTTGCTTCATGAGCACTTAGTTCTGGAAAGATTTTCAAATTGGGTACTTCCACTTCCAAGGAGTCCTGCACTAGCCGAGCAACTGTTATTGAACAGTTGGAAATGCTAACGTATTACTTTCTGCAATTATTGATTTATTTGCCCACATAACAGTTTAGCAGGGGCTAACTGCCTAAGCCAGGGGTGTCCAATCCTGCTCCTGGAGGGCCACTGTCCTGCAGAGTTTGGCTTAAGTCCTAATTAAACACCTAAACCAGCTAATTAAGGTCTTCAGGATTACCTAAGGAACCTCTAGGCAGGTCAGTTTGGGGCAGGTTGGAGATAAACTCCACAGGACATTAGCTTCCATGAGCAGGACTGGAGACCCCTGGTCCTAGATAACCTACCTGATCAAGAATTCTTGGAGTTGACTTCCTGATCAAGAGTTCAAATAGATAATGTTTTATTTCAATCATTGCAGGGAACCAAAAGAGAAATCAAATGGACGGCATTTGTCCCCCATCAGAAATAGTGCACTGGACAACAAACAACCAACAGAGTCCTTGAAAAGTTCCTCTCCAAATGAGCCCAAGGAAGAGGACCAGGCAAGAGAGAAAAGACAAGTCCAAGAGCTTCCACAACAAACTCGAGAAACTGAGGAGCAAAAACACAAAGAGATCCAAAGTGACAAAAGAGAAAAGGATGTGAAAAGGGAGAAGCAGCCCACTGATGACAAGCCAGCAGGAAAGGAGAGTACATCACCCAAGCAGCAGAGAGAGGATCTCAAACGGCCAAACAGTGATAGCCAACCCTGGGAGCCAGCTGAGAAGAAGCTTAGAGTCGAGTATGAACCCCATGCCAAAAGCAGCAAGGTGAGAGTGAAGGAGGAGAAGAGAGACGACCAGGACCATGAGGTTACAACACACCATAAAGTTTCAGAAAAAATATGGCAGGATCCCAGAGCCCCTGCTATTAACCCTTCACCTCTTCCTTTGCCAATAGGAATACCAGCTGGCCACCCTGGTCTTGACAGAACTAGGCTGGTGTCACCTTTTCTGGGAATGGGTCCATTACCTGGTGCCGAAAGGCTGCCTTACTCGCCTCAACACTGGGAGTCTATGCGGAATGTTTACCGAGGTCTAGATCTTCCTCGTAGGGACTACTTGGGCAAGGACCTCTTAATAAGAACCGACCCCCTGCAACGTGCCATGATGGGACACCCTGCTTACCTACGAGAGCCATTTCTGCAGTCCATGGTCCTGGAGCAAAGGAGTCAAATGGAGGAACGGCAACGCCTGGCCTTCCTGAGAGAAGAGAGCGAGCGTAGCCGCCTACTGACTTTGCATCATACTGCACTGGATCCTCACTTACCGCCTCCAGGACTCCTCACGGCAGCTTACCCCTGCACAGGGCTCCCACATTACAGCTCGCTCAGTAGGACTCTACCTGCTGCTTACGTACACGCCCAACCACATCCACTTTTCCCAATGCTGGCAGCACGTCCAGGGTCTCCAAGACGGATGACCCCTCTCACAGACAGACCTGTTTCGCACCCACACTGAGACTCGGTGAACTGGACTTCATCAGAATCTGATGGACTCGTGTATATCAAGCACTTCATGTGAAACAATGTGTAGTCATGAAATGTACAGTGGTGGAAATGATTTTTTTTTTTGGTTCAAAAACAAAAATATTAAAATGACTTCTGAGAAAAAATGACTTTACTTGTTCTTTTTGAATGTTAACAATATATTTGAAACTAAAGGACTTTAAATAATACACAACTATTTACAACTATAGCAAGGAAACAATGGAACAATAATACAGCACAATATACAAAATATTCAACAAATATCAACACAAATTAATTAGATGATAGCTATTTACGGTCAAAAACTCATCGTATTGTTCCTGGTAATTATAAAAATAAAAGTAGAAGTCAATTTTTAAAACACAGCTAGAAATATAAAAAGGTAAAATTTTTGTCAAATAATACAAAAATAAAAACTTGCAGAGTGCTACTGTTTTTCAGAATTGTTTTTTAACAAATGTATTAGACACCTGAGATCATGTAAAAACCTAAAATAAAACACTAGCAAAATGCTAAAAAAAGATGATGCCATACATCATCCTCTAAACTTTGCATTTTAGTTTATAAAAACATTGATCTAATGGAAAATGTTTAATCTATTGAGGTTAAACAGGTTGTGTATTCTCACACAGGTTATCTCTGATGAAACTGCATTTGATAGGTATGAGATTATACCACATCCATTCCTAGACCTCTAGCCACTGCAGCCAGAGCTCTAACAGCCCCTGATGGCCCACCGGGCTGGGCCACTTCCTCTGGATCCCCACTAACCTCAGTCACAGTGTTCAACACACAATACACAGATGTTTTGAGATTATACCACATCCATTCCTAGACCTCTAGCCACTGCAGCCAGAGCTCTCACAGCCCCTGATGGCCCACCGGGCTGGGCCACTTCCTCTGGATCCCCACTGACCTCAGTCACAGTGTTCAACACACAATACACAGATGTTCCATCACCTTTTAATCCACTGCTGTCAGTGCCCTCCAGGAGCTCTGAGGTTGAGGAAGATGAGGAAGGAGAGGAGGGTGAGGAAGAGTGCTGGGGAGTGCTATTGCCGCTGTCGGGATGCAGCATTGGCTCCTTGGAGTGACTGGTTGAACCAGAGACCTTGCGAGGGGTGCGTTTTTCAGCCATGTTTTTAATCAACTCTTCTGTAACCTCTACAGTCTCAAAACGCACCATGTTGAGCCGCAGTCTTTTTTTATATAAAGCATCCTAAATTTAGGGATGCATGACATTCTGGCTAATAATCATAAGCTGATAATTATTTTCATGCTATAGCTGATATTAAAATTCCATACTGTTTTGCCTAAAAAAAAAATATACATACATATACACAGTGTTCAACACACAATACACAGATGTTTCATCACCTTTTAATCCACTGCTGTCAGTGCCCTCCAGGAGCTCTGAGGTTGAGGAAGATGAGGAAGGAGAGGAGGGTGAGGAAGAGTGCTGGGGAGTGCTATTGCCGCTGTCGGGATGCAGCATTGGCTCCTTGGAGTGACTGGTTGAACCAGAGACCTTGCGAGGGGTGCGTTTTTCAGCCATGTTTTTAATCAACTCTTCTGTAACCTCTACAGTCTCAAAACGCACCATGTTGAGCCGCAGATACCCATCCTCATCCTTCATGTACCTGTTCAATAGGCAATTTTTAGTACACAAAGGCAAATGATTAGCTCAGAAGCAACTAAATACACTTTAAGATACTATTAATTGCACACCTAAAACGGGAGTGTCCAGATGGCCATTTGAGTTGATGCTTCTTTCGAAGGTGGAGGGTGAGAGTGTAACACCAAGAGAAGGTCTTGTCACAAAGGTGACACTTATACCTCGGAACCATGTTGTCCTGTTGCAGAGAGATATCATACGTTAGTAAAAAGAAAAGGAAAACCATAAAAAATATTTTAATTACTCAAAATAAAACCTAAAATCTGTGTATGTGTAAAAGATGATTAACATAATTCAAAAAACACATCAACACTAAAAAATTAACAAATTCATATTTTTTTTAAATAATAAAAATACATATAAATGAAAAGATCAGTAAGGCAAAAAAAGCAGAATTGTGCAAAGCGTATTATTAAAGCACTAAATTTAATCAGTAGAAAAGATTTAGATTTGAGCTGTACAAGTGCATAAATTTGAAAATTAAAAAAAATATAAACATCTGATTATTTGTTACTGACACAATTCAGTCTTTGCACAAAAAAGGTCAGTAAACACTATCACACTAGTTTCATAGTTCGGTATGGATGTGCCAAAATTATTTCCTGTAATAATCAACATTTTGAATCGGATTCTGCAAGCAGAGCTTAAAAACGTTCCCTTTAAAAATGACAAAAACTGGTCTGAGGTTATAGCACCCTCTGCTGGCTGACCTCATGTACTCGTTTATAGTGCTGATTCATGGTGTGTGCCATGCGTGAAGAGTATCCACAGCCCTCTACTGTGCAGCGGTACGCTGCTCCCTCATTGTGTGTTTCCATGTGTCTCCGCAGATCATGCTGGTTCTTGAAGCTAAAAGTAAGGAGACAAACCATTAAATGTAAGAAATGTATTCTTCAGTACTTCATTGAGTGTATCTATGTTGACAGTGTGCAAACTCTGGGCAGCCACCTGCTCTCACAGAAGTCACATGGGAAGGGCCTCTCATCGCAGTGACGGAATTTGATGTGGATCTTCAGGGTGGAAAGGGACGTGCATGTCATGTCACAGAGAGGACATTTTATATGATTCACTGCACACACAAAAAAACACTTAAATTACACTTAATTTTCTGTAATATTATCAATTAGAATGCACTGACACTACGGAATGTAAACAAAACTAAACTGAGCTGAATAAACACTATTAATACTGTTATTTTCAATCTGGTTTATAAAGCAATTCTTTTTTATGTCTATCTTTAGTATTTTCAATAATATTCAATAATTCAACTATTTATTACTGAGGCAGTTCAGCTGTTTTGTTGTTAGCTTTTGCAGTTCATCTGTACTTTTTTCAATGTGTTTAACAATACTTTAAAACCATTAATAAAATAATAAAAAAAATACTGTTATTTTCGTGTTCATTACTGTGAAGCTGCTTTGAAACAATCCGTACTGAATAAAGCAGTACATAAATATGACATGACATACAAAGCATCTATAAACAACACTATTTTTCAGATGTCGTCTTTTTTTATATAAAGCATCCTTATATATATATATATATATATATATATATATATATATATATATATATATATATATATATATATAATTTAACTATTCCTGTTTGTTTTTAAAAATAAACATGAAAAAGAAAAATGCTTTATTACTTTTACCATATACACTACAATTCAAAGGTTTGGGGTCAGTAAAATGGATTAATCAAGCAAGCAAGTTGATCAAAGTGACTTTAAAAACACTTATAATTTTACAAAAGATTTCTATTTCTAAATGTCTAAAGATTTTTATTTCATTTGAGCTTTCTATTCATCAAATAATCCTGAAAAAATATATAATGGAAAAAATATATCATTAGAATGATTTCTGAAGGATCATGTGACACTGAAGACTGCAGTAATGGCAGCTGAAAAATTCAGCTTTGCCATCACAGGAATAAACTGCATTTTAAATAGAAAACAGTTACTTTGAATAATAATAATAATTCACAATATTACTGTTTTACTGTATTTTTGATCAAATAAATGCAACCTTGGTGGGCATAAGAGACTTAATTCAAAAGCATTAAAAATCATTCCGACTCCAAGTTTTTGAACAGTAGTGTAATGTAGTTTGTCATTTTTACCCACAAACCTTTATGGTAAGCACTCAGACCTTCTGAGGGCCATACAGTTAGGAAACAAATAAATAAACAGGAAAAGTGTGTAATTTACAGTCGGAACACAACCACTGGCCCTCCAGTGTAAAATGATGTTAATAAAATAATTTTGAAAATGTGAATCATGTTTCAATTAGTACTGTGGCATACAAGTTAGTATCTCATGACAGAAATACGTGTTAGGATGTGATTTTCGGACCTTATTGAATGTGCTCAATGCAGATGAAGTGTTAAAAACAAGATGTGATTTGTTCTGCATACTCAAAAAAAGAGATGCAGTCATTTTTGATGACAGCTTGTATGTAAGCCAAGTCCTTTAAATAAAGCTATCCAAATTGGTCACAAAGGTTATATAGCATATATAATATGTGACTAGTTTACCTTTACTTTCCAATTATGGAAGATTTCTGCTATTTTGCAAGGTTTCCATATTCTAGCAATGTTGTGCTTCATTGGAATGCCTTGCACAATAGCATGATCACAGTGATCATTGTGAGCTTAGTTTTGATACTAATGGAGTGGAGCCCTATTAGTATCTCTTGGCACTCAACCACTTCTGCTCCATGTTTCTGAAGCCAGTAACCTTGCGTAAATCATTTGTATTCACTGGAAACCAAATAGAGCCCCTCTTGATAGTGAAGATACTATTGTTTCATGCAAAAGAAAAAAAAAGCATAGTGTTCAGAAAATCCTCATTGTGAAGGGGATTTAATCTGAATTGGTCCCACTGAGGATCTCTGTGATGTGCAGCTGTATGGTGAAATACTCTAGATCCATGCTGTCCAAAAGAATCACTGAACACACCTGACTACAGAACAGAGCTGCTGTCACTGTCAGAACAGTCCTATGAGAGTGAGAGAGGGAGGGGCTACATCAACACATTACATGCACATCAACACTAAAAAAAACTCTCCTTGTTTAACATATTTGCTTTTACATTAAAAAGGAATAATTTGACCAAAAATTTAAATTCTGTTATTTTTATTTCCAAACTAGTATTACTTTCTTCTGTGGAAGACGAATGAAGAAATTTTGAAGCATGTACTATTCAGGACAGAAACCTTAATCTAGAAATCTTAATTCTTTACTTAATATTCGAAATGTTCTAATGAAAGATTCTGAGTAAGAATGTTTCTGTAATAAAGCCCCTGATGTCCGATCTGTGAACAAATCGTTCTTTTAAAGAAATAGTTCACCCCAAAATGAAAATTTACTCAATCCATGACATCCATGATTTGGACATTTTTTAAATTGGAACAGATTTGGAGAAATTTGCAAGTTTCTTACAAACGCACAGTTTTTCACTTCAAAAGACATTGATGGACTGAAGTTGTGTGGATTACTGGTGGATTATTGTGATGTTTTTATCAGCTGTTTGGACTCTCATTCTGACAGCACCCATTCACTGCAGAGAATCCATTGGTGAGCAAATGATGTAATGCTAATTTCTCCAAATCTTTTCTGATAAAGAAACAAACTCATGAATAAACAAACATTGTGTATGGCCTGAGGGTGAGGACATTTTTAGCAAATATTCAGTTTTGGGTGAACTATTCCTCTAAGCTGGATCTTGATCCACTTAGAATGATTCACGACTGATCTGGTTCTTGGATTCAGCTCACAGACTCAATGATCTGGTCACAGCAGTTAATAGCTCACTGGTTGGGAAGATTGTCAAATGCCACTTTTTGTATTTTTGCTTTCTTTTTTAAGCTGGAAAGTCCCATACCCATGGGGGTTAATGGCATGGCAAATGGCAACCAGTACAATTCTTCAAAACGTCTCCTAAGAAAATAAGTCATGCAGTCAGTGTTGTTATTGTTCACTAAAACTATTAAAATTGTTTTCATTAATTAAAATAAAGCTGAAATAAAACAAAATAAAATATCAGATGAAAAACTTAAACATAAACAAATTAGAAATTTTGCGTCCACAACTAGCTGAAATAAAATATGTTTAGATTGAAGTACTAAAAATACTAAAAACTAAAATTGAAACAAAAATTTAAATAAAATAAAACTATATAGAAAATATTAACAAAAACGAATAAAAATGACAAAAGCACATAAAATTACTTAGACTGAAATCTGAAAATCTGAAAATAACTATAATAGTTTACAAATAATACTAAAATAACACGGCATGGAATGTTATGAGGGTAAATAAATGGATGAACTATCTCAGAACTGATAGCATTAGAGTGACAGATGTTGGAGCCTCATATTAATAAAATATTTCTGAAAAATTCATAATCTTGCATTACAATTTCACCTCTCACAGTATAATTAAGTTTCTGATGATAACCGTCATATCTGAAATTATTGAGTTCATCACTATGGTAATAAAACAGGGCACCTGAGAAAGCATCCTACCTTGCTGGACTCTTTGCTTGGTTCACTATACAGGCTTCGTATCCGACGGCGCTCCAACAGCTTGTTGTCTGTGGCATGAGGTTTGACCTGCTCTCCTTTAAAGGTGGCACTATAACTGGTCTCCAGGTTGGTCTTCTCCTCCACTAGGAGTTTGTACTGAGATTTCGCTTTGATGAGTTTCACTGGTTTGACACCTCTATAAGCCTTGAACTCCGTCCTAGCGAAACACAGAGCTTTTGTAAATTAATCTTAGGCAGAAATAATTATACATAGCATAATCAAAACTGGTTTATGGTTCATTGTCAGAAGACTAAGACAAATAACATGACAAAAGATAACAGATAACAGATCAGCAACCAAGAGGTAATGCTTTATTTAGATGCCACCTAAAATTGAAGTTCTGACCTGAGTTAGTAAAGTCAATATTCATCATAATTACTCTACCAAAACAGACGCCTTGTAAAGAAATCAGGACAAACTAATTGGGACATTGAGGTGTCGTATTACAGCTTTATGCAGAGTGAGTGTGCACAAAATGATCTGAAAACTCAAGAATGACTCGACATTTTTTTTTGGGGGGGGGGAGTCTCAGACACCCACAGAGAGGAAATTACACTGGTGACTCGATATTTTTCAAAGACTGGATCTAAATCTTTCCTTGTATCTTGTGCTTAGATAAGGTTACATTAGCTGCAGTGATCTGATATACTAAATATTGGTTTAAAATAGAAAGGTACCCAATAATCAGACTGACGTATAAATGAGGGCTTTTCTATGACAAGTTCTAAGGTTGGTTCCCCCAAATCTAGAATATACAGAATTACAGCCCCCAACAAGGGAGATGATTTTGGGTACATTATCAATTTTATCATTTCATGGCAATCAGGAAATTTTTGTCTGCTGATATGTATGGGTTTTATGAGTTTTAAGAACAGCTGACACAGTTGAAATGAGCATATATTGACTGAGTTTCTAAATGGTGATATGTAGAAAACAGGATTACAAATAAAGTTGCTGATAAAATGCAGATACATAATGCAACAATGAAATGAAAGCAAAAGAATGATGCAACAGAACAGTTTCATATAATATTTACTTAAAATTAATGTAAAGGTGATTAGACAAGGACATTGTTGGCAGATGCTGAAAACTAACCTTACCAGGATGTTCTGGGAACCAAAAATTGTTAGCTAGGAGTCAGCCAATCCCAATAATCTCAAAACAGCTAGATATTGTCTGCTAAATATTTTTCATTCTAATATCTGTTCATATTTCTCTAGAATGGCAGGACATGAATTTGTGACATACATTTTATGTCACTAGCAGGCAATTAGAGCAGGATTCCTTGGCAATGACAAAGTTCATAAAAATGAAACAGATTTGTATTATATTTACCTATATGAACTTCCAGATGTGACTTCCTCCTTAATCTGCTTGTTGACAGCATCTGCAGCCGACCTCCTCTTTCCCTCCACAGCAACATCTTTCTCCATTTTGATCCCCTCTGACACATGCTCTTTTTTGTCTACCTTCTTTCTCCTTTCTTTACTCTCTTTTTCGTGCTGTTTTTCTTCAATCGCACATTTTTCCACTCCGGTTTCAACCTCTGAAGTGGCCTGCTCCTGTTTGGAGAACTTGCTCTCAGCCTTACAAGGTGCAGCAGGAGTGGGTTGTTTGGGAATCCACGGATGATCTCCTCTTTTCGGAACGGGCCATGGTTTGTAATCTTTTTGGTACTGAGTCACGTTGTTGAAAGGGGTCTTTGATGGCTGATACTCGTTTCTGGGTTTGCAGCTTGGTTCCGGACGCACACTCCAGGCTTTGAAATCCTGGCGCATCACAGAAGCGCCTGACCCGTCTTGAGATGATGATGCTGCGGCATCAGCGGCGGCGTGAGTCGCTCTGGTCGACGCCTCCTGATGAGCGCTACGGGCAGGCTGGGATTCTCTGATGACCGGCTTCTGTGATATTAATGGTTTGGGTTGAGGGTGCAGATGTTGCACTTCGGCCACGTCTGAATACTTCGTGAAAACCAAAGGCACTGCAATGTCACCTTTGTCCAAGTCACTCCAGAAGCGGTTGATGCAGCAAGCCCTGGTGATACAGGGCCATGCCATGATCGATAACGACGAGGCGAAGGCTTGAATCTAAAGAGAAACGATTCAGAAATGAGGACCACAACGCATAAAATCTGTTTTGTTTTTTTAAATCAGAACAGCGATGCTCTTTCCTTTAAATGTCCCTTCTGATAAGAGAAATCCTTCCAGATTGTTGAAATCCCCTGTATCGTAGCGCACGCGCTTGCGCACTTCTCTCGGCGAGTAATTTCGATGCGCTTGTTTTCTCTCAGTTACAAATGTAAATGAAAGATTTCTTTATAGAAAAGACACCGTCCAGGCGACTCCGTTGACAGCTGTATGACAAGACACCGCCCCGGTTCCTCGGAAAACGCTCGTGGTCTGCGGAGTGAACTATCACCTGCAGCCGTCAGCGTCTGGCCAGCATCGGGTGGAGACGTCGCTCATTTAACCATTTCAAGACTGTCACACATCCACATCCACCCACTACTTCAACCATTTCTGCCAGCGAACGCTACATGTTTCTGGGACTTGTTGATCTGAAGACCGGTTCATAACATATGACATATAAGGTTCTAAAACGAGTTGCTGGTGTATTTTACAGTTGTCAACTATAAAAACATATCATAATACAGATACAACTGCCATATACAATATTTAAAACGTCTGTTATTGATATATTATTGAGATTTACTGTCTTATAAAATTATGAGCACATATGTCAAAAGGACAACGGTCTCAGTTTGAATTAAGTACTGATTGAGTATAACAAAATTGCACTATTGAATAAATTAAAAACACGTACATGTGTAAACTATATGTCCTAACTACCATATCAAATTATGATATTGTATTGTTCGCAACTTTCTATTAGGTGTTATTGGCCAATTAAACATGATATGTATGGTTTTGAAATTTGGGGTGGATATCGGACCCACCTTGCATGAATGAAGCTACATCCACTTTTCTTTTGTTCTTTTCATTCTTACATGTGTACAACATACCATCTAGTGGTGTCTGCAATGATAGCAGCATGTGTTGCATGTGCATGTGTGTTTCCTTGTGTAACCCATGGGGTGGGGCACAGTTAGCTCAGTGCAGATATCCAGTGATGCTGCCAGTGCTCTCCTTCTAACTTACATTGCATTCACAATGCATGGCAAAAAGTAATGCCTTACTTCAATTAAAATATGTCATCAATTCCAGAAGCAGACTTCAAAGTGGCAAAAGTGACAAGTAAGAAAAAACCTGACATCAGAAACCTTAGTGGAAGCCTTTCTAATGGATTTTTTTGGATGAGAGATTATTTGCACACATGCACAATCTGTTTGGCCTGCTGTTCTGTATCCTCAAATTTCCACTCTTTTGTCTTTTCCCTCTAATCAGTAGTGGGATGAAAAATAAGTATGGCAACAATGTACATTTACCAGTTTTTTTGTTTTGTTGCTTTTAATTTACACGCACATGGATACAAACCCGCTTGAATCAATACGAGGTCTGCAGCAGCTCCTTGGTGATTTAAATGTGATTAAAGGTTTTGTGCGCCCTCATTAAGCTTTGTATTGTAATTGAACCCACCCATCTATTGACACTAAAGTAGTTTAAAATGGTATAATTTATTTTAAGAAAATACATACTTGCAAATGCTGCTCTCTTGAGGACCAAAGTGGAATTGACTAAATACAAAGCAACAGATGTTATACATGCACTATAATGTTTAACATCACTTTTCAATTTATTTTAAGCATTTGGCATTTGCATTGCAAATAGGTTTTATTGCATTTACAAAATATTTACTAAAAATTATTAAAGACAGTGATCTCGCAAAACCGATGGTGCTCACAAAATATAACTATTTTGGTTGCATTCATTTGTTACCACATTGTGTAAAAAAGATACAACAGGAGGCAGAATGCTGCCTGCATGAAGCAGTGCCGTGCATCTTTTGTATTTTTATGCGAAACTGTTTAGTTGGATATACTGGAGCAAGACTAAAATTAATCTGGTTAAAAAAGGTTGTTGCAATTACCACCAATATTGATACATGAATTTCCGAACTGTTTCAGTTCCTGTTTTTCATAGTAATAAATATACCAATACATTTCCAAAGAGTAAATGGTAACGCTTAAGGTTTCATTTGTTGACACTGGATAAATACATTAGTCAGGATTCAGGATTCTTCACATTCTGTAGAAGTATTTACCTTAACTAATGTTAATTTCAATGTTTACTAATACATTATTAAAATTAAAAGATGTATATTTTAATATATTATGGACCTATTAATATTAAATGGACCGGAAGAACTAACAAAGAACAGTTGTATTTTTATTAAATAACACTTACAAAAGTGAATAAATACTGTAGCAAATGTTTTGCTTACTGTTATTTAATGCATTAACTAGTGTTAACTAATGGGACCTTTTTTATGGCTACCTGGCTGCAATATAACAGAGTGAAAAATTTAAGGGGGTCTGAATACTTTCCATACCTACTGTATATTATAGGCTAGCTGCAGTAGTGTATACCTGTGACAGTAGAAAGAAATTACATCCTTATATAGAAGACAGCATCAAAAGTGCTTTCATTTTATTTTCACTTTGGTTTTTAGTTTATACAAACACAAACATGTCTTTAATGGTTGATTTTCAAAGTTATTTTTGTCATTTATCAGTGAAGTCAAGCAAACAAAATGCAAGACCACTCTGTAAATTGCAGATACTTACATGGTGAATCTTTTGAAGGTCCTCACAAATGTAAAAATAGTACTATATTTCTCCAGGGGGAAAAGACACATGAAAATAAACTATTGGCATTGTGATGAAAATCAAAGGGTAATTACAAAATGTTATGCAAAACAATTACACAACTAATTTCCAGCTCAAAGATTTTTGCAGTCGAAACTCTATACATCTATAGAGTCTGTACATTTTACCTGTTAATCACTCACTTTCTTCTGAGTAAGTTTTTAAATAACACTCAACCATTTCTTCCAGGTCTGTTTTTATATGATAATTGATGTTCAGCACAGCCAGATTCTTACATCTTTGGTGTACCGCAGTGTCTGTGAGGTAAGCTTGTAAGCGTCTTTGGGCAGTTTCACCGTGATTCCCATCTAGCTTCAGCACCGGCAACGTGGCTAATATTTTCAAAAACGCATTAACGTTGGGGAAGAACTTCACATCAGAGTGCTGAAGGGTTTTGTGAATGGTGCATGGCAAGCTTACTTCCTTCCCTCTGTGTTTCCATTTTATTCTCCAACAATGTAGTTCAGCAGGCAGCGTGTCTGGATGGGGCAAATCGCTCCTGTAAATGTCGGCATGGGTCTCCTCGGAGGTATTAAACCTCATTTGGCCCATGACTGCGGGGACGAGAGACAAGCACTTGAGCGCCTTGAGATGATTCTCAGAGAAGATGTCCTTGACCTCCTGCGTGATGTACTCCATAACCGGCAGAGTAAGATACTCCTTAAAGAAGGACTCCGCCTGTATTTCCATGGTCTCCACCGCCTGTTGCTTCCGAAGAAACAACCTCGGGACTTTCACTGGGATCTCCATTGCAGTCGCCAAACTGACCGCTTCTTCGAACCAGAATTCATGGTATACTTCGAGATTGTCCGAGACCTCGTGCAATGAATGCAGTACTGCTGTTAAGCTGTTGGCGGCGAAAAACACATCAATGGTTTCTCCTTGTAGGTTCTTACCAAAAGCTCTCGTAAAAGACAATGCGTTCTTCAAAATAACCAACGTCACAATGAACTCAAAGTCCGCCAAGGCCTCAGCAATGGCGTAAGCGTCACTGGTTATTTGGCCATTCCACTTCAGATCCTCATTGTCGTGTATGCTGTCCATGCACAGCAGAAGTGGCTCCATCAAATCGACGGCCATCTCAAACACATTATGAAGATCAGTCCAGCTTGAACGCGAGTCCTCTTTGAGAATGTTTTCTTTTTCTATGTTTCCCTGACACAGGATAGAGACAGCATTATCAAGTTCGCTCTGCAGCAATGGAGACGCTTTAAAAAACGCATTCGTCTTCTTCAGAATGGACATCACATCTTGCACTCCAGTCAATGGCATGCCATTAGCAAGATGAACATTGAGTGCACAGGTGGAAGTGGGCGTGATCACCGCCATGGGATATTTCTCCTTGAGTTGGGCAGCGATGACCTTCATCTTGGTGCCAAGTATACCAGACCCCGCATGTGCTTGTCCCCTGCAGTGCTCCATACTCAAGCCCCATCCCTTCGTCAACCTAGTCTCCAATCTCTTAGCGACAGTGACCTCCTCTCCTTCAAACGAGAGGAACTCTATGAATTCCTCTCTGAGAGTGTTTGCCTGGTCTACAAAGCGCAGGAATATGGGAAGGTGCTCTCCTTCTGGGAACTCTACTAACTCCCCTGTGATGATGGAAAAGAAGCGGCATTCTCTGACTTGCTGAAGGATCTCTTCATGGACGCATCTCTCGCAGACCTCCAGCAGCTGCCTCTGCTGGACGGCCGAACAATATTCCTCATTAACAGCCACTGCCTCAAACCTCCTCCGAAGAAATTCATCACCCGCATTGATACGGTTCTCAATTAGCGCTTGAAAGTTGCCTGTAGTCAAAAGCCGTTCCTCCTCCTTAGAGCACATCTCATCTTCTCTTGCATTGCAACTGAATGGAAAGCTCTGCCTTCCTATCAAAACCATTACTTCAAAGGAAGACCTTAAGAACTCTCTCAGGTCTTTTTGCTCAGGCGTCAGCTGAGGGATGTCGTCAGCTTTCTCGCTGTCATCCTGAGCATCACAGTCTTTTTTTGAGAGCAGTTGTTCAATTGAAGACTCCACTAAAGAAACAGACAATGATCATTCAGAGCTACATTTTTAATCAGTTTAGTAAGAAAACAGTTTAATCAATTGATCAGTTTCAGCTTGCCAGATGAGCAGAGTGATACACAGTGCTGCCATAGGCAAAGGCGAATATTAAAAAATGATCTGACCGCTAAACGTTGCAATTGACCAATCAGAATCAAGTATTCCACAGAGCTGTGTAATAATCAACTATATCTTACTTACATCTTCTTTCTTTGATTTTCCGAACCTCTTCATCTGTCTGAGGAAAACCGGAATGGAAAGTGTCACTTTAGAACTACTGTGCTGATTTATAAAGTTGCATTTATTGACTTATCATTAACAATGTGAAATATGACACTTTGCAGTAAACAACTGCGATGAGAAAAATAAATTCTACCAGAACTTTGATGCGTTTGCGATGTCTGCTGTGAGGATTGCTGAGGTGGCTGGTTAAATCAAAAATCGTGGGAATAGCAGTGTCTCTTAGTACTGTCCTGTAAGGGCTCTGAAAAACACCGTAACAATCCTTATGTAATAATCCTTGTAAAACACTATTTAACTATTTAGATGATATGATAAAACATTAAGGTTC